CCCCAAAACCCCAAAACCCCAAAACCCCATGAGGTAGGCTCGCAGAAAATTGAGAATTAATAAAAAAAGAATTTCACAGATTAAGAAGGAGTTATTTATTCATTTTGAGTAATATGCTTTAATGATAGATTTTATCGATAAATTTTCTTTTTAAAAAACATATTATCATGTCGAATGTTCCCCTACCCAACATAAATTCCTAGTCGTAAGTGAAGGCCTTTATTTTAAAGCAAGCGGATTTGCTCAACTACCGAGATATAGCTGCTAAGAAGAAGAATGAAAAGATGCAAATATCTTAAAGAACTTCAGATCAATCAATAATAGAAACAAGCGTGATTAGTAACGTCAATGGCAGCTGTAATAATAATTTCAATGCTACTCTTTCTGGGGATAAGTGAGTAAGTCTAAAAAACTAAAATATAAGGAAAAGCTCATGGAATGAAATTGCCTCTAAAAGATTAAGTGTCGTAATACCTTAGTCTAATTAGCCTGTTCCTATTAAAAAGAAAACTATAATCGGCTAAAGTTTGTCTTTGCCCAGCTCAATAAAAGGATCACCCCAAAATATAATTTAGAAAATTAAAGAGTAGAGTCCTAGAGTATTATTTGAAAGTGCTTTAAATAAGTACTAAGCAGAAAGCAATTAGCCAAGCAATGCTCAGCTGTTGACCCCCACCTAATTTAATCAGTAAATAGAATAGCTGGGTAAGCTAGCTTAAAGTCATAATCAATTAAATACTAATTCTAGAGCTATTAATGCAGCAGGATCTGAACTCAATGCTGAGGATCCATCCTAAATTACATTCAGAAGTAAGAGCACTATGTTGAAAACTTAAAATTCTTCTGGATCACTTGGACTATAGAGATAGCCGTCAATAGTAAATAAGTATAAAGACATCTAATCAAAAATAAACTCAAGGTCATAAATGCCAAGAGCTAGTATTATGTTTCAACCTAAAGATTTAATTGACTTAGTGCTTGAAAAAGAATCGCAGAAAAACAATAAGGTCTAGAAACAGAAAACGAAGAAGATGGACAGCATCTTATCACCAATAGAATCAGAGGGCAAATATAAAAACATAATAGATTAAATTGATGAGAGCGAGTATGTAGATGATTTTGAGGAAACAAGTTCATTTACTGATGAAAACAAAAACTATCAAGGCTTAAATCAGTAGATGCTTCTGCCTAATATAAAAAACGAAAATAATCTTGAGAAAAATAACAGTGGCTAGACCTACTTGAATTCTAAGTCGTTCAGTTCAATGGGTAGAAGTCAAAGAGAAGGATTGAAATTCGATTTAAAAATCGATCTGCTTGATGATCAAGAGGATGGTCAAAAAACTTCTAAAAATTAAGGTAGGACTCCATATTCAGGTTTGTTAAGAAAAAACTCTAATACACAATCGCTAGGTCATAGCAGATTCAGACGCACTAATACTAAGTCTTTCAATTTCTTATTAACAAGCATCTAAGAGCAAGTAAACAACCATGAACCTAATATTTAGATCGAGCCATTAGATGACTTGACAGATAAGTACCAACCTTAAAGTACCTAAGAAAATCTGCAAGGTAAGGAGAATAATTAAAGCTCAAAGTACCTGAACAATCTTACCTTGAATCATAGTCAGAAAAGCTTCAATACTCAATCTAAGTACTCCTAGATGTAAAGACAGGAAATACTCAATAAAATTGGAGAGCATATCAAAATACTTATCTAAAACATGGGTGATAGTAATGACCCACATATGTTTCAAATGAAAAACAGACGGTCAGCAGGTGGGGTTAATAAATCATTTGATCATGCAATGTTTGACCATGTGTAAAGCGAGGCTCTGAAGAAGAAGGACCAGCAGAACTTTCACAACTATCTACTAATGCGCAAGGGTATTAACCTTGACTATAAGGAGGAGTATAAAATCTAGTAATTCAGCAAGTAATTTGAGAGAAGAGCTTTTAATCCCGCAGTCAAGCAGAAGAAAGACTCAGTCATGACCTAATTAATGACTACTTTTACTAACAAAAGCTATTTGAACACTTTGAAAAAGAGCAATTTAGAGATATCTGATTAATTGCTCAAGATGGGAATGAATTACGACAACTACAAATCTCTTGCATAACAAGTTAATTCTAATTACCACTTCAAAAACTAAAGAATATCTCTGAGGGAGAGAAATAAGTAATATATCCTTAGGCAGGATTCTGAGAAGCACAAGAAAGACTTGGAACAGCACTCCTCTCCTGAGTAGAAAAAGATATTTAAACAACTTAGGTAAATTCTTAAAAGGCAAGATATCGCCACTACACCTATGGATGATGAAATATAGAAGAAAGAAAAGAGCCCTGAGTAAGTAAAGTCGTAAGAAAAGAAGCAAGACACCGGCATAAAGATAAAAGATAAAATGCAAGCATTGAATCTAAGTATTAACACAGGGGGAAAGTTCAAATCCACGTATTCAGTTCAGCAGTCCCCTCAGTCTATCTCTGTGTTTGAATAGAAAAATGACGGCAAAATTCTGGATGTATTGAATGAGAAAGGATTCTCAAGTATGATTGAAGCTCTCAATATTTAGTACAAAGCACAAGAACCCGTAGATTCTCCCTTTCTACGAAGATATCAAAACTAACCTAATTCGCAATCTGGAATGCTCTCACCATCCCTTTCAGGGAAAAAATCTTTAGGGGGCTAGACTCCTCTCTCCCCAGGAAGACGTAAAAAGCTTATAAATCCAAAGTTTCTACTCAATGACCTGTTTCTTAATTAGGGTACTAAAGCACTTGACAAAAAAGTAAGTTCAGTAAAATTCTCAGGAGGCATTCCGCATCACTCAATGAGCCATAAGAAAATGAATGACTCAGAGATTCAAGAATTCAGTAAATACGTTAATTATCTGCTTTTGAAATCTTCAGATGACTTCATTAAACATAAGTTCAAGAAATTCCAGGAAAAAACTTCGCCTGAGAGAAGTTTACAGTATGATTCTTTTGACAAGCAGTAGAACACCTTTTTCGAGAGGATGAAGGAAGATTCTAAGTGTCGCTAGTTTTTGGATAAGGTGATTAAGGAGGTTAGAGAAAACGGTGAAGAGAGAAAACTACAAAGATTGAGAAAACTTACTGAAATTACCAACTTCATGAAGGACAACATTATAGTTGAAGATGAGTAATACTTGATCAAGCAGATTCGAGAGGAAATCAATAAGCTAGACGAAAATGAACTGAGTAAGCAGCTGTTCTCATTAAGAAATAAGAAGAAGAAATTGACGAGTAGAAGTTACTCTGATATGAAGCAGAACAGCATATTTGGATAGAGAAAATCAATAAATGTCATACCAATAACTGAAAAGAAGATGAGCATACCAGTAATTCAAAACGATGCGTAGTCTATGATTAAAAACTTCATGGAGAGAAGAATGACTAAACTACTTGATCCTTTGCAGGCCCCTAATTCACTAAGAGATATCAAGATTTCTATAACCCAAGAAATGCTTTGATAGAACATCTAGTCTAGGACAGTTTTCTATATAAATTAATTTAACATCTGTACAGCCAATATCTTTAAGATGTTTTTAATTTGATTTCATAATTACTGCTAAAGAATTCATTTCATTGTAAGAGCAGGGGTTTTGGGGTTTTGGGGTTTTGGGG